TCCCTCCCTCCCTCCCTCCCTCCTTTCTTTCTTTCTTTCTTTCTTTTTTAAAAAATTTCCATATAAAGATGACCTATATAGGATCCGAACCCGTGGCCTTGGTGTTGTCACCACCACACACTCCTGAGTGAGCCACAGACCAGCCCAGCCCTGGATCTTTTGAACTTTCTTTAAAAAGCCTTTCCTTCTTCCTTTGTTTGTTCACATTGAACATCCTTATCTCCACAGCTCTTACCTCAGGTCATATTTGTACGGTTATGAGTAATATATGTGTCTTCTACAACTAGACTTAAACTTTCTGAAAGAAGAGATAATAATATCTTCTTTTGCTTAATTATCCTTTCACGTGTTGTGAGTGAGTGGCTCATAGTAAGTTCTCAAAGCATCTGTGTTACAGGAAAGCATAATCCCACTCATTTCCCTTTCTTTCTGTGTACAGTGCCAGGTCATGCTGGTCAACTGGTATTTGGGTTCCTGAATGGCAGAGCCTGTGTGATGATGAAGGGCAGGTTCCACTTATATGAAGGATACTCGCTCTGGAAGGTAAATCAGGGGCATACGCCCAGCTGGATCTGGAAGGTGGAGAGAACTGTCTGTCCTCTTTTCTTACCTAGCTATCTCGGGTAGGTAGGTTTTTAGTCTTCTCCTTCCTCTTTCATGATGAACATCATGCATATCTGCATCGGTAGNTGTTGTGAGTGAGTGGCTCATAGTAAGTTCTCAAAGCATCTGTGTTACAGGAAAGCATAATCCCACTCATTTCCCTTTCTTTCTGTGTACAGTGCCAGGTCATGCTGGTCAACTGGTATTTGGGTTCCTGAATGGCAGAGCCTGTGTGATGATGAAGGGCAGGTTCCACTTATATGAAGGATACTCGCTCTGGAAGGTAAATCAGGGGCATACGCCCAGCTGGATCTGGAAGGCGGAGAGAACTGTCTGTCCTCTTTTCTTACCTAGCTATCTCGGGTAGGTAGGTTTTTAGTCTTCTCCTTCCTCTTTCATGATGAACATCATGCATATCTGCATCGGTAGGTTGGTGAAATTTTGAAAACTTTTCTGATCTTTTGCTTCTAAGGTTACATTCCCTGTGAGGGTTTTCCGTCTTCTGGGTGTGGACACCCTGGTGGTCACCAATGCAGCTGGAGGACTCAACCCCAAGTTCGAGGTTGGAGATATCATGCTGATCCGTGATCACATCAACCTACCTGGTTTCTGTGGTCAAAACCCTCTCAAAGGGCCCAATGATGAAAGGTATATGTATCTTGCTGCTTTGTTTGTAGGTGGGTAGGGTTTAAGAACTTGTCCAGGAGTTGGGAGAGAGCTCATTTAATTCCATTTATCTGAGATAATCCAACCTCTGCCCTAGGTTTGGAGTTCGATTTCCTGCCATGTCTGATGCCTACGACCGGAATATGAGGCAGAAGGCTGTCAGTGCCTGGAAACAAATGGGGCAGCAGCGAGAGCTACAGGAAGGCACCTATGTGATGCTGACAGGTCCCAGCTTTGAGACCGTGGCAGAGTCTCGTCTGCTGCAGAAGCTGGGGGCAGACGCTGTTGGTGAGAAGGAGAATTTGGCTGGAGTTTGGAAAGGGAGGGATCTGGTAAAATAGGAATAGGGAGGAGTAGGAGATTACAGACCTAGTTGGATTGAGAGAAGATCTGATTTAAGGGAAGGGGGAATTAAACTAACTTCCAGGAAGACATAAGTGGTGAGGTCTGGTGTGTTGTAGCATCAAACCTCCGTAGCAAGCACCACAGGCTTAACAGCTGCAGTGTTAATGACCTGTCTGTGATTTGATGACTGTTTTAAGGATTATTCTAATAAATATATAGCTCCCCTTTTGTACCTCTGGCTGGAAGGTGGAACTGTGTCATTAGAACTGACTTCAAAATTGCCAAA